ATATCTATGACCAAGGGAGGAGATCGTGCTTGCCATAGCTTGTCGTTGGAGCTTGAATTGTGCTGCTGTCATGGTTTTCCAGTTTCAGTCCTATTCAGATTTCACTTCACTTAAGGCGTCCCTGTGGATTAACAAGATATTTGAATGGAGTGAGATTACTTCGGTTCCAGCAGCATTTTGGTGGCATTGGAAACGGTTTGAGACACTGACTTCGGGTCGGCGCAAACTCCTCATCATCATAAGTGTTCTTTGACACCTGGTGAGATGAGGGATTAATGAAGCTCTCCGTTGGGAAGTACAGGTGTGATGGGTCTTGTCCATTTGTCTGATAATTGTGGGACTGGTTGATTCGCTTAGCAGCAGTCCAAACGGAGGTGATTCGTTAGCTTTACGGTTCGACAAGCCAGGTGGAGCCGAGAAGCTTTTGTTTACACAATTGAGAGGATTTGGAGACCAGTAGCCGCCTTTTTCTTCGTTAACAATCTTCTCTGTGGTCATCTATTGACTTCGGCTGTCACAAATGCTCGGGTGAGTTGACAGTTGAATTGTCAAAACAACTATGAGGTTGTATGCTTTATTTGGTTGGAGGTTGTGATTATCAAAATTTTCCCCAAGATAATTGGGTTTTAAATTGCGGTTTTTTGTTAGGAGAGGCATTTTGAAGCCCGCTGGTTCTTAAAAGGATTATTTTGACTGACAACGAGGCAATGTAGTAGAGCTTTGCTTGTGACAAGTTTTTTACAAGAATTCAGTTCATATTTCTAGTCTTGAAACGCACCGAAACATTGTGTACCCACTACGAAAGAAAAGGCATTATGAATTGGCGTTGTCAACCTAAATACTGCAAAACTGTCATTTTCTTCAAAAAGCTGAAAGTATCAAGTTACAGGTCCATAAATTTACGATGGGAAAAACTCTAATGCACGAAACTTTATACTTAAAAAATTACGATTTTTGAATCAAGTTGTAGTAGTACATCTTAGTAGCAGGTGGAGACGCATCACCTTAGCAGGGAATGCATTCGTGCACAGGTCGTCGGAGGGCCTGCCAACATAACCCGAAGCCACGTTCCTTGCATCGGCAAGATGGGAAGTTGCACATCCAAACAGACATCTTTTTGAGCTTCAACTTAGTGTCCACCTTTGACATCGCAACGCAGTCTATGGTGCGAGAACCAACCGTACTCCGTATGAAAATCTCGCTCAGCGTTAGCAACTGGTGACCTCATTGGCATTATACTCTCCCTTTTCCCGCCAAAAAAGCATGACAGGGTGAGGGGAATGCGTTTGATGGAGAATAGGTTTCAAAATAAGTTTGCGAGAACGCGATTTAGCGTCTGTTTTCCTTTTTGTAACCTTAGCACCTCATTTGTGTATAACGACATCAATCTCGGTTCTAGCCAGGCAGTAGGGAGGTGGACATCTCCGTGAGAAGTTTAATCAGGTGATTTCACGATCGGTGTCACCTCATTTATGGAGATCCTTGCTGGAGAATGTCATTTTCAGCCTTTATATCTGAAGACGTCATAGATTTTTCTTCGACAGCTTGAGTTTGAATTTTTAACTTGGGTAATTGAAGCAGTTTTAGTTACTGCATGAGAAAGGAGACATAGCACCAGCGAAGAGTGTATTGCTGTCGAAGGAGGCGACTAGGAGGCTACTGGTATTGGCCCAGGATTCGTGCCCCCTCGCCTTTCAATGGTCACCCGGTCAAAGCAAAAGACTTGTCATCTAGGTTGGCACTTAATTCCTGCTACTAGTTTGGTGTACCGCATTTTAGCATAGTAGTAAAAGTTGAGGTGTTGACAGGCAGGCACCATTTGCTCTCCTGTCCTCCTTTCCCTTTAATCGGGGTCGTGCCTCAGGCACGTCCGCAAAGGACTCGTTTCCAATCCTGCGCGTTCCACCTTCGCGGTCAGGTGTCATAGGAAACACAATGTCGTATACATTTGAGGAGACGGAACAATACATTTGCGCAAATGACGTTCAAAGATGGCAAAGTTTATGCGGTGTTGTGGCATAGGTTCCAATGGTGTTTCACGAATTCAAAACAGGTTCATTGATTCAACTGTCACACAAAGAGACAGCTGACACCTGGCTTATTTGCCCGAAAATCCAGCGTCATGACAGAGGTGCTGGAGGACGGTTATGAGAAGGCGTATTCTGCTATCAACCTATTCCATTTTCCGTCGACAATAAACCAGGCCGATTCTCCACTCCAGGAAAGTCATGTGATTGCCTGTGTGGCATTGTGCAGTATAGCTCAAATAGGTCTCTTAATCTGGTTCATCCTCTCCTTCCGTCTGAGGCAATTCGGTCATGCTTCAGTCGAAGTAGGACGTTCACGCTGTAGAAACCCTCCTGTCAATGCGCTCCGCACCAGTGAAACCGACAAGGATACCTTCTACTATCGCGATCCCACGACAGGAAATTTGATTGTACGACTGGACTTCCTGGTTGATTTAGCACACCTTTTGAAAAATTTTGGAGAATCCCTTGCCGACTACAAGCAACACCACTCGGAGTAGGAAAAGCAGGAGGAACAATGAGAGGGAGAGATATTAAGCGATTTGATGTCGAAGACATGTTAAATAATTTTACTTGAATTTTCGGTATGGCGATATGTTGAGGGCTTGACCTCAGCAGCTGTAATAAAGATGTTGCGGGTTTGGCATGACTTATCACAGTTTCAGTTTGTTGAGTTGCCAAAAATGGCCTAGTGGGCATGCTTTGAAAAAGACAGCAACATTTTCCTACTCATTTAATTTGAAAGCATTAAAGACCACTTTTTTATGGTAATCTGCCGACAGCACCCCCCAAGGAGTACTTGTATATGGTCTGCTCTCAAGGGGAAACTTTATTGGAAGCCATCACTGTGAATCAAGGTGGCAGAGATGGGTGACGATTGCCATTTGGCAGAAGATGTTTCGATGGTCTCATAGCGCCTACTTTTTAATCATCATGGGTATGGTCGAGGAGTAGATTGCTAACAAGACGATTATTTTGTTGCGGAGTCAGCGGGATTGGTCATTTAGTAGGGAGTGGCTAAATACGTGACTCCTGCGTATGACAGGACGCCAATTGGATTGACATGCAGGTCTCATCAGTGCCTTGCAGTCCTACCTCCATCTCACAAGTGCTGCTGCCTTCTCCGCCACATCCGTAGATTGATACTGAAGTCGATTTTGGACATAAAACTTCCACTAACTACTGAACACTCTCATTTGATTTATTTTCGTGTTGCAATTCTTTTATCTATGAAGGTGCGCTTCAAGATTGCGTGACATTTTCATACCACTGCATGTCAGCTCACTAAATCGATCTCAGTGGATCAGCAAAGTGGCAAATCGGCTTGTTATGCAGATGTTATTCGAGGAATTGGGAATACATATGAAGGTCCCTTCAAGACTCTTCAAAAGAAGGGAACACACACAGTTGAGAAGCATGAGAATTCAAATAAAAGTACCGTAAAAGATTGGCCTAGCAGTTACTTCATCAATCGAGTATACAAATACGCTTCTCGGCAAGATGATGTTGGGGGGTTTTAGTGGAAGGTTTATGCAAGAATCAAGGATCTCATTGGACCAATCCAGGGCGGATCATTTGAATTAATAGACGTCTCAATGGCCATAATGTCCGTCTGCAAACGTCTATTTGTCTTCTGTCTCCTCACCTCCTGTTATCTGACTGCCCCCATTCCACCCCACTCGATGTTTTATCCGATGTCAGGAGGTGCCTTTGCGCGTAGCAACTACCTTGACTGTTCTTACGTCCTAAATTCTTCTGTTGAGAGCGCATGCTCTGCAAAATGACATTTGCCATGCGGTAGCGTGTAGTCAACCCCAGCTTGTGGTGGAATATGGTTCACCACAGATACATATGATGTGGCTCACTCAATACCTGCATACAAATAGTCATCATGGTCATATCTTTGCTAGCACAATTGTCTTCCCATGCAGTCATGCATTAAACCAGTGGGAAGCGTTTTTTGGGGGACGCTGATGGGCGAATTCAGTAGTTTGTCACGGGTTTCATTTTCATGTTGTAAACGCCTTTACGTAGGTTTTTGAACCTGACTACATCCTCTCGTTTTGCGTGACGCATTTTCCTAATCTACAAAAAAATCACAACATCTTTAAAAAATCTTCAGGTCAGCAGCATTTCACATTTCCTACTAAGGGTGTAAGTACCTTTCTTGCGGTTATTAGCCACCCAACAAATAATTGCAACTTTAAAAAAGGAATGAAAACCTTTGCTTTAATTAAAACGCACAAAGTCAATGGCCTACAAGCCGCGAAAAGCGATTTTAAGCAAACAATACATACACAGAATGGTACCTTTCAGTTGGTGCTACCTCACAAGTACACAGTTTTACAAAGTTTGCACACAAGTGCTTGTTTATTTAGGCATTATGGAATTTTAGCATCACGAGGTCCTTCCCTGTGATCACCGCTCTTTGGACACGCAGTTTTGGTTCTGATAATCGAATCGGAGTTATTTATTCTTGAGTACTGGAAAAATGGCCCATGCTTGGTGCCGCTGGGCTACAGCGATGCCTTTAGACGGCTGTAAAATTGTAATGAAGCCCAGCATAGTATTTTGATGGCAACTTTATTAGCAGGCGGTACTCCACATCAGTAATCTCACGAGATTTCCCTCCTCTACTGTCGGCTCTCTGGCTCTTCAGTACGTGCTTGTCACAGTTGCATCTGAGCTCGTGCATTCCCACTCTTCCCTCGAATCCGACCCCCTTATTAAACTTCACACAACGCGGCAGTCCTTCCCTTTGTACATCCGAAAAGGCAAGAATTGTTACAAGAAACAAACAAACTGCTAATCCACTGAAATTCCCAAAATCATCACCTCATCCCTTTTTACGTTAATCTGTTCTGATTTGCCACCACCCACTTCCCACCATTCATCCAAAAGTACTTGTCAAGGGCAATTTTTTCTACCCCAAATATATATCATCTGGCCTTTTTTTACTTCTACACAAATTCGAGTCGGAATTTCGGATTGTATTAAGGGGGGGGATTGGGCCTGCACAATTCTCGACGCATGCAGCCAAGCGTTTACTTGCTCAACATTTTGCCCTCTGTGAATACGCCCTCTTGATGGTGTCAGTTTTAGATCCCCTCAAATCGGGGGGTGGAAGGTTAAAACTAAAAATGACAATCTGTTCTATCCTAAAAAGGGACCCAACTTGAACGCCAGGAATTGTCCCTAAAATGTGTTTATTACAAATTCGGTAATTTGGAAATAAAAGGGAATTATTGTTATTGTAAGGGCGTTTCTTCAACTCAAGAGGACAACTTTTACCTTACAAAAATTATGCTAACTGAAAGGAAAGCCACAAGCATATAAGACTTGGAGACTTTTTTGCAAGTAAAAAAGGGCTTAGAACCCAAATAGAATTCTTCCCGCTACAGTGATTAAAAGCTAATGAGGCTTAACAAGACCGCTGCTGGCAGAGCCCGGTGGTCTTGTCGCCCGAAATGGCATAACGGTGGAACCCTAGGGAGCCGAGATATTTCTAATAGACCACGTGGCCAACCTTATAACACCGTAGTGGGTGTTGTACGCAAAATGTTCATAAATTAACCGCCCTATTCACACACTTTGGTTCTTTTGTTGGTGATCTCACCTAAGAATGTCTCTGGGCTTGGCTCCTTTTGGAAACTGCCCTGAGGGAAGAGAAACTGCGTTGACTGGCCAGTGGAGGGCAGTCTTTAGGGTGGTCAATGCGGATCGGGTTTTGCACCTGTTCCCTTTTGCCACTCCATGCCTGCTAACAGAGAGGCGGAGGATTTATCGCATGTCTGTCCCGTTGACAACTAAATGCAGATCCCATTGATAGGTTGTGTAGAGATCCGTTTTAGGGGTTTAGCTCCCAGTGGTGTTTTGTTTGTGTTAAGATCCATTAAGAAACACAGGACTGAGACAGCCACCTTCTGCTAGGAATTGTCGCAAATTTCCTGATCGTTGACCTGTGCCACTCTCCAATCTCGGATCAGTGTTGGCACTAGGTGGTAGAAACTAAGGTAATTTGCTTTCTTTGGTATTGAATTCGTTTTTGGCTGCCGCCAATGTAGCTTCACAAAACTTCCTTGACTTTAAAGGAGGGCGAAACTGGGATAGAACTTATTTTAAGAGTTGGTAACATTTCCTCCTAGGTGGGGGGTGGGAGGAGGTTCAAACCACCCAGCGGATTTACACAGGCGGCGCTCTCAACACCCGCGTAAACAAAAGGAAACCGTGCCGCCGACATTCTTTTAAATAGAACTCCGACTGTCCTTTTCCTATCCCACGAAGACATCTCATGTGTCATTAAAACGAAAACTAAAAACACCACATAGCACCACTTTCCCTTTGAAGTTCTTCCATTTGACTGGCCTGGAGGCAGTTGAATAAATAGAATTTGCCGAGTTGGGGGAGTTTTTTACAACTGATTTATTCATCACAGTCAACTCTTGTACATGGTAAAAAGGCAAGGAAATGCAAGTTATTAGTTGCTTGGATTTGCGTTTTCACTTTAATGCACGCAATACATTGGGACGACTTATTGAATGGAATAGAAGGTGTAAATAAATAAACATTTGTTTGAGTCAACCTTTTAGGCAGTAAATGAAATAGGGTAAATCGGGGCTATCCTGTGATTAAGAGAACAACACAGCGTTTCCGTTGCTGTTTTTTATCACCTCACCCCTCCACTACCCTCGATGCAAGGGTCTAAACACGCAAACAGGGGTTGGAGCAGGGGGAAGAGGAGGGCGTTGTTAGGGGGAAGGTTTACACAAGGGGACAAACGATGGAGTCGTTGCCAAAACGCTTTTAAAATTGAAAGTTGGAGGCGGTTGGCTTATTTTAGTCCAAATATTTTAGGCATCTTTATTTGGTAAATTATTGACGCAGCTATTTCATGCCAGCGTCGCTGCACATAAATAATTTACCTCCCTCCAATACCGATTGTGACTCGAGAAGTTACAAACGAAATTGACGATTTGTCTCTGAACTTGGATTCGTTTGGAAAGCGCCTTGAAGGAATAGGGACCGCGTTGACTGGCTGCAATTGCCTGGCAGTGGAGTGCGGTCTTCAGGGAGGCCTTCAATGCGGATCGGGTTTTGCACCTGTTCCCTTTGCCACTCCAATCTCACCTCATGTCCGCCTATCCATGCCTGTTGGGCTTTTAGTAACCTAGCTACCTTCTGATTGTGGCTTGAGAATCTACAATCACAAATTGGCGCAATAAAGTGTCACATATTTTGACGGCTTGATGGACATGGAATAGAGTTAGCTGCTAATTATGGACGGTTTGTTGAAGTTTGGCATTTTGAAGACATCTACTAAATACTCTTGGGGATTGCTAGCCTCTGCTTGACCTCTTAGGCTGGACGCCAATCGGACTAGTGAAGTGGCCGAGCTTAAAAATCCCAATGTTTTCCCATTTTAAATTAATATCAATGAATTATTTGCAAAGTTTCTTTGAGCGGCCCGTAAAACGCCGTGGTTAGCTTATCAAACTTTGGC